CATGCAGGAATTTGGGAGAATGTTGAGGAAAGACTTCCGAGATATTTTGGTAAGTGAAAAAAGCAAGGTGGGGGCCAGCAGATGACAGTTATGCCACAGGGCTTCCCTAGGTCTGACCATGGTCTGAGTCCTGGACCCAGTGACTTGAAAATCACACCAGGCACATGTGCGTGCCCAGAAAGGAGAATGGAGGAGAAGGGATTGCAGCATGGCCATTCCCCCTGGGGGGTGATTTCTCACTTTCCCACTCACTGTCTGTCCCACTCCCACTGTTTACATGCTCTAAGGCAAAAACCTCTAAAAAAAAAAAAAAAAAACCAAGGTGAAGACAAGGCCATATTGTTTTTTCCAGTGTATGTCACAGAGAAAGCCAAGGGACAAGACCTATTTATAAATTTACAGGCTGTTTCTGAAAGAGTATCTAAGAAACCATTCATTCTGATTCTCTTTGGAGAGGGAGACATGAAGTCCAGGATGGCCAAAAAAAAAAAAAAAGAAAAGAAAACCTTGTTCATGGTATGATTTTTACTAGTTGTTGTTATTATTTTTTGACCACATAAAAGTATTACCTTTAGAAATTTAAACTAAAAAAGAACATTGAAAAGATGAAGACTGGGGTCGGCAAGTGGCTTGGTGGTTAAAGGCTCTGGACTCCCACAAGGCCAACCACAGTTTGAGTCCCGGACCTGGCAGCTTGCTTTCTTACCTTCCCCCTCTCTGTCTCTCTCTCTCTGTCCCCCTCTCTCTCTGTCCCTCTCTGGTCAAATTAAAAATAAATGAATGAATGAATGAATGAAGTTAAATAAAATAATTCTAAAAGAAAGAAAGGAAAAAAAGATGAAGACTGTCAAAGCCAAACTGAGAGGTTGAGGGAAATGTGCAAGATTGAGATGAGAAAGTAGATTGAGTCTGGCCTCTGGGCATGGAGTGACTCGGGAGGTGGTAGGAACCCTCAAACCTGTGCTTCCCCGGCTTGGTCTCGCCTCTCCTGGGGTCACTGAAGTGCCCACAATCTCTGTCGTCAGGAAGCTGCTGTGGATGGACCTGGCTCACTGGCCCCTTCTCGGGTGGTCGGAGGACAGCACTCCTACAAACTGGGTAAGAAAGGCCAGCTCAGATCAGGTCCGAAGCTGTTTTACACCTTTGCACTTCCCTTTTTTTTTTTTTAAGTTTATTTATTTATCTCTTCAGAGAGAGAGAGAGAGAAAGAAAAGGTACACCCGACAGGGTTTTGAAACCATGCTCCACCCCCAGCCTCAGATAGCCCCAATCGTGACACACATGGCTGGAACTGACTTGGGGAGGGCGGGAAGGTGGTACAACAGTAAAAAGCCGTGCTCTGCAAGGACAACCACGGGAGACGTCCCAGGGTTTTCGTAGGCGACCTTCCTAAGGATGCCGGAGCGTGGCTGTGATCCAGGGCTGGCTCGAGCTGGGGTTGGTCACAGTGTGAAAACCCTGTTTGGTGCTTATCTTGTTCTCTCTCTGTCTTCCTTGTTTATGGAAGAAATAAATAAATATGACTGGGGGGGAAGCAAACCAACCAACCAGGGCCTGAGGCTCTGCGTGGTTTTTTTTTTTTTTTAATGTCATAGATAACGTGTGGTCAGCCTAGTCCCTAGAGATTTGGATCTTACTGATAAGATGGGCCCAGAAGATTGACAGCAGTACTGAGAGAGGCAGGAGGGCCAGCAGTGGGGCAGGTACTAAGTGCGGGAAGATGTTTCGTTCGGGAGATGGCATGCAGAGTAAGAACAGCGGTTCTCACAGTGTGGACTGCAGATGGGTCCCTAAATGTGGGGGGAAAAATGGACTGTACCTCCTAGAACATGTATAAATAAAATATAAAAAGGTGTGGTGGGACCAGCTGGTGGTGTAGTGGGACCAGCTGGTGGTGTAGTGGTTAGGGCTGCTGGATCCCACTGTGTGATTTGAGTCCTGGACCCTGTGGCTTGCAAAACACATGCCCAAAATCCCAAGGGAAGAATGAAGAGAAGGGATTGTATCATGGCCATTACCCCAGGAGGTATTTTTTTCTCATCCTCTCTCTAGCAAGCATATGAGCCCGATAGCAAAATGAAAAAAACAAAACAAAACAGTGTACAGCTTCCATTCAATGTTTAAAAACATTTTGACTCATTATTATTTATTTATTTTTATTTGAGCAGAGAGACAGAAAGAGAGGGAAAGTGAGAATGGTTCCAGGACTTGAACCATGGTTAGCCATGTGGGAGTCCAGCACCCAGTCACCACGCCACCTACTGGCCCCTTCCATTCGATTTTGCTATGAAACTAAAAACTGCTTTAAAAAATAGAATCTACTTTCTGGGGGTTTGTTTTGCTAATTGTTTTTCTAACCACAACAAGCTAGCACAAAGCCCTGTGTAAAACACAATTCATTCTCAAAGATCGAGGTGTTCCCTTAGCAAAGCTGAAGGTTTCCGTCTCTAGTATTTGGAATTTAGGCTGTGGCCCTTGTTTGGATGGATCACTGGGTGTGTGACAGTGATCTACCCAGATTTGAACAGAAGAATGGCCCCTGGGCCAGGTAGAAGGAGATGGAGTGTTTGGTTTCATGTGTCACGTAACTGCCGAAGTTCCTCCCACAATGCACTGCCAGGTGGGGCTGCGCTTCTTCTCTTGGTATGGGCCGCAGCATCCTTTCCTAGGTTCTATTTTCCCAATGCCTGAGTCACGCACTCCACTGAGTCCTGCTGCATCACTTCCGATATGTCCGCATTTTTTATCTTCCGATAAGACCTCATCTTTGATCATGGCCTTTCGGTCACACACGGTTACTGTTTAACGGGGCAGCCTCACAACAACGGTCTCCTGGGGGAGGTGCTGGTGAGGCGGGAGTGCTGGGAGATCAGACCCGTGTCGGTTCTCGTCCTGTGCTCACGAAGAATTAGAGAAACGGACAGAGAGGAGAGGAAAGTGGGATTTATTAGGGAAGGAGAAAAAGCTTCCAGTGTAGTGGGAGGGGCCCGAATGGGTTGCTAAAGACCGGCTGGAGGCCAGCGGTTTTTATCTAGCAGTTTGAGCAATGGACCTGCTCTCTGATAAGGAAGTGGGCTTTAGAAAATGGCTGCATGGTACTCTGAGAGATTTATTACCCTATTCTTTGAGGGATCAGTAGACCAGAGCATCTGGTACTTCTTGTCTGAACAGTTACCGAATAGAAACTTGCCCTTAGCCACAGTTCATTGAGTCTCAATGCAGTCAGCTTTTTGGCTGTGAAAACTTAGCCACTGTGACTCCATCTTGGGCCTTTGCTCTGTGCTCAATATCCCTAGCTTCTGCCTTACTAGCAAGGAGCCAGACATTCTTTAGAGACAGGTAAAAGGGGCATATATACATATAATTGATCAGACCATAAAGGAAGAACACAGAGAATTCATTAAAAAAAAAAAAGCATAGTGACTTCCTTTTGGGGCCCCTCCTCTATCTACCTATAAGTGGGGTCTAGTGCCTATCTCATTTCCCCCTCTGAAGAAATACTCCTAACTGCTGTTGGGGGGAAGGGACGAAGACCGCTCTGGCTGCTTCATGCTGAGATTGGGACGTTAACAGGGATGGCGTCAGACCTTCCAGCAGAGGTCAAGCTAGTGGTCCCCAACAGAAGTTCACAGCAGACACAGCTGAAACACTTGAAGAGAAGTCTGAAGTCTGAAAGCGTCTAGGTGAGAAGAAACAAATTTAGTTAATGGATTCAACAGACCAGGTCCATAAAAGGCAAACAAGCAAAATTATTGCAGTCTCGAAAGGGCTGAAAGCCAGTCTGGCTACTTCCAATTTCATAAGAGACTGGAGTGCATCTTGTTGAGTTTATCCCAGATCTGGAGTATGTATGTATTAATTTTTATCATAATTGCCAGTGATGTTGAAAATGACACATATGGGTAAATTTTTGACATCTTAAAAGCAAATAATCAATAACCTTTTACTGTACATCACTTAATTTTCAATTTAGGACATTTAAGGCTCAAGTAGTGTTATTTAAAATTTTTATAAAAGCCCAAGGGATGTGTTTATTTTCATGAAGATATAGCTCTCAAGTGTACATTGAATTATATCTTTCCATTTAAAGACAGATGGAAATTGGGACTCAGGGAATCAGCAGTTAGCATAATGGCTATGTCTCTGGACTCCCACATAGTCAACCGCGGTT